TTTCTTAAAGAAAGGTTTTGACAAACTTTTATCATGTTTTGTTTTTGGGGACCAATTCTGCAACATCTTATAAAAAGATTCTCTGATTTTATTTTAAAAGCATAAATTAAATCGGTCTTTTCTGGCCGAGAATTTAGGGGATGTCACATGCAGGGCGTACGGTCGGCTGGGCAAACCCTAACTTTTAGGGTGTGTGCCCTATTTAAACACCTTAAGTTGGTTGTAGACTCTCTTATGACCAACCTTCACCTCTCCAAACGCTAAGAACGAAACCCTAATTGCCACTTGGGTGTTTTGAGCTTATAAGTAAACTTTGAGGGTGTTTTTGGTGATTTTGAAAGAAGAGGAACTCTTGGAAGTTGCATTGCTGTGGCTAGAGCTTGTGGCTCCAGAATCATCATCAACTTGGAAAACTATTTGAGGTATACAGCTCTTAACTTGATTGTTCATTTTGTTAGATCTAGTTAGGGCTTGTTTTTTGTGCTTTTTATGGTCCTTTAAGTCTTGCATGAGAGTATGAGCTACTCCAGAAGAGAAGGATGATAGATCTTAGCATTTTTGAGGTCCCTTGTTCATAAAAATGCAATCTTGATAAATGATAGTGGATCATGCATGGGTTAGGGTTCTTATTATGGATTTTATTGAGTATTGGGTCCCATTAAGCATGCAAAGGAGTGAAGTTGCCAACTTTATGTGTTAATACATCATTTAGGACCAGATATGAGAATTGGACATAGTGGCTTAACTGATTAAGCACTTAATGGTGATTTGGGTTGGTTGTGGAGTACGCTAGGTGTACCCAACGCGTACGTTGCACGTACTCGCCAAAGAAGGCATACATTGGGCATAAGTCTTAATACGCCAGGCGTACTTAGCTGCCATTGACTTTTGTTGACTTTGGGTTTTGGGTAATATTTGGACTACTAGGGTTTTGGACCTTGTTGGGCCACTAGTCCTTTTGACTTTGGGCCATTGTTAGGATTTAGGCCTTCCTGGAGTTGGGCCCATAATGGGCTTTGTTTGTCATTTAGGAATATGGGCCATATTGGGCTTTTTGAGCCATTGGGTTGGGCCTTGGTTTTGGGCCAAGTAAGGAAAAGGTAAAATAGTCTTTTACCCTAGAGGTTGAGGATGATGAGTTGGGGCCCCGGTTATGGTTTATGACCTAATTATTAATTAGGGTATTATTTGATGATATTTAGTGCGGAGATTACTCGAATCAACAAACCGAGCATTTATCGGGTTGTTTCAGCAGTTTGAGGTGAGTTTTCTCACTATATTCATGGTTCGAAGGCACCAATGTTGGCCCATTACTTGTTATGTGGAATTCTAGTTGTCTCTGTGATACTTGCATGAAAGACCAGGATCTGGCCCCTGGAAATTGTATGAAAGACTAGGATCTGGCCCCTGGCAATTATATGGAAGACCATGATCTGGCCCCTGACACTTGTATGTAAGACCAGGATTTGATCCCTGGCATTGCAAGGAAAGACCATGAGGGTAGCAGATGGCACTTGTATGTAAGCCCGATATTTGGCCCTCGACTTCACAAGGAAAGACCATGGGGGTAGTCTATGGAACTTGTATGTTTTGGTATGCGGTATTTGGGGGAACTTACTAAGCTTTGTGCTTACAGTTTATGGTTGTGGTTTTAAGTACTTTCAGTTCAAAAAGGAAGGGACTGGCTTAATCGCAGCGCATCCACCCATGTTTCCGCACTCTATGATTTTGGGAATTGTACTCTGATAACTATTTTACTCTGATATACTTTTGAATGATTGAAAATGATAAATGGTGTTTATGGTTGATTTAAAAATGAAATTTTTACCTTAAAATTTTTGGGACGTTACATTGACATGGGGAGAAGAAGAAATTTGTTGTTGAGGTCCCTGTAGTTTGTGAGCTTCTAGATGTGTTCCCCAAGGATCTGCCAGGTGTGCCTTCACAGTAGCAAGTGAGTTTTAGGATTGATTTGATTTCGGGTGCGGCTTTTACAACCAAAGCACCATATCGTCTTGCACCGCCATAGATACAGGAGTTTTCCACTCAGCTTTAGGAATTGTTGGACAATGGGTACATTCGGCCAAGTAGTTTGTCTTGCGGAGCACCAATTTTATTTGTAAGAAAGAAGGATAGCTCGCTCAAGATAAGCATTGATTTTAAGGAGTTTAATAAGTTCACAGTGAAAACCCAGTGTCCGTTGCCGATGATCGACAATTTGTTTGACCAACTTCAGGGTGCTTCTTGGTTCTCTAAAATCGATCTGCGTTCGATGTATCATTAGGTGATCATACCATGGATGAGGATGTGCAAAAGATGGCATTCCGAACGCGGTATGATCATTACTAATTTGTGGTGATGCGTTTTTAGGTTATTTTCATAATATATGTATGAATAATTGAATATATAACTTTTAAAACATGTTTATCAACATTTAAGTGTAAAGTTTATTCTTCATACCTCAAAATGTTAATCTCTGACTATCCTAATCATGCCACAAGAAGTATTATGTAAAGGGTATATGATTGATACTCAACACCCAACAGACATTCCAATCGGGAAATTGGCCAATTAGCAACGAGTTAATTGCAAATATTACAATTCCAAGAGACCTAAATATAACATATTCTTATTGTTGGACTTGAAAGTGTATTATTCTCCCAAACCTTAACATGTCGAAAGGATATACGTAAGGTTTATCGAAACCAAGATATAAAGTGGTCGCGGAGCCAAAATTTTTGATAGGGGTATAAACATTGTCAAAATTCAAAATAGTAAATACAAAAACTTCTTAATATTTAAAGTCGTAAATCGAAAAAATGTAATTAAAGTAAAAGTTACAATTAAATTCGCCTAGTTAATATGTCTAGAACTCAACAAATGATACCGTCATCAAAAAAATTTAGAAACGCATCATTCTCAATAAAAATGAAAAAAGTAGTCATTTAAAACGTAATTGTTCATACTATTCTATAACTTATTCTTTCTACACTTGTGGTAGCAAACGGAAAAAATATATTTTATATACTTATCTCATCCCATACATTAAAAACATGGTATAATCAATTTAGCCGGGAGTACAATAAAGCAACTCGCGAGTATAACACATGTAATAATTCTTGATATAATATTTTTTTGGAGTAAGATTATTTTTTTTATACAAAATTAGTTGAGAGTGGAATATAAAATGTAGGGTTTAAGTAATTATTTACTTTAATAAATACGTTATCCTATGCATCACATGAAAAACGTTTAAAAAAGACGTCTTTTCGATGGCTACATAAACATATATAAGTGCATGTTTTTCCTTTTAATAATTGAGAGGTAGGGTCACCAGACTATCCTTATTTCAATCGAGAAAACATTACAAAAATTCCAAATGTCAACAATAATAATTTATTAAATTATTAAACGTTTGCAATTTACATAAACTTTAGATAATACAGGAGGGCTTTAGATTTTGAATGACCAAGTCATGATTTAATACAGGAGGGCTTTAGATTTTGAATGACCAAGTCATGATTTAATACAGGAGGGTTCAGGGAAACATTTTTTTAGAACGAAACATAGATTAAAACTAAGAAGAAGCTATAAAAATAAATTACGAGTATGTTTGGCCAAATTAGCTGGTAGCTGGTAACATTTTGTTAAACGCTACGTGAAATAACTTTCAGATTTGAAGCGTTTTGTTTAAACTAAACGCAAAAAGCTTATAGTTTCAAACGAGATATTTTGTTCAAAATAGAACTATTTGTCAAACGCTAGAAACTAAAAACACTCCGTACCAAACTCATCCTATATAATCATTTTGGTCTTGAAGTTTAGGGAAACTCATTTGTCATTTTAAATAGTAAAGTAATTAATTAATACATTTATTATATCTGTAAATCAATTTTGTTTTTTTTAATATATATTTTTTTTCTATATCCAATCAGCATATTTTATATATACTATCAATTCCTAAAGCTTAGCTACAGTAACTTCTCTTTTCTTTCCTAAATTCACACGCGACTTTTACTTTTTGTTTTTTGACACTTGGATTTTACACTTATTCCTCTCTTTCTTATTTTGCCACTGAAGTATTTGCCTTTCTTATTTTGCCACTGAAGTATTTGCCTTTCTTATTTTGCACACGGAAGTATTTGCCTCTCTTTCTTATTTGCACACGGAAGTATTTGCCTTTCTTATTTTGCCACTGAAACTTCTACTTCGCCTTTTCTCGCACAAACCGCCATAGAATTTGTCATCGTTATCTTCTCTCCTCAAAGCCGGTTGCCGCCGTTGTCCTCCAATACCGTTCGTTTCTGTTTTCTTTATTCTCCTTTCTTCTTTACTCTTCCTTCCTCTTCGCTTCTTTGCGTTTCTATTTTGCCTCCGCGTACCTCTTTCTTCTTATCTCAATTTGATCAGGAACGTCGTTCCATTTTCTTTCTTGCAAATTAATCCACCGACTATTTTCTTTTCTTTCTTCCAGACTAGAAAGATGATGAAGACAGCAAATGCGTCGCTGCTGCTGGTGGTCAGTGACGGCGTCACCGGAGTGCAGGAATGGCACCAAAGCTTCACCGGACTACCAGTGCTCTATAATCGTCTTTCCACTGTGTAAGTTCTAGGGTTGTGAGTTTTTTTTTGTGCGATTGTTAAGGAACGACCTTGACATGTAAACAAGACGAGTTCGATTTGGTTCTGTTTTTTCTGGATAACAGATAAACTTTGCCTCTCTTTGTCATTTGTTTAACTTAATTTGATCAGAAGTAGAAAAGAAGATGGGTAAGATTCCAGTTCTTTTTTTGTTCTGATATCGCATGCCAAGTGTTTGTGGTATTGCCTTAATGAGTATACCAAATTTTTTTTTGCTGAAGGTCTATGAATGTCATGAAGGTTTTTTTCGGTTTAGGGTACCTTCTCTACTTTTTTAATTTATACGGATCTTAATGTAGGGATATATGCTATTCTTGATCAATAATATAGAATTTCAGTTTCACATTACTTTTCAGTAATTTGGTTATTATCTTTTCATAGGTTAGTCCTGTAAATGATTTCATATTTATCTTTTTTAAAAAGGTGTTGACTTTATTGAATACCGCCCAATAGTGATGATGATATTGCAATAAGTTTGTGGAAATTGAAAGCGTTCTCCATTCCGTTGCCTTCCAATTTCTGATCTCCATATGTGGTTAGAAGTCATCCGCCTCAGGTAAGGTCTCTTCTATTATTGATCTAAACCCTAGATACATTGAAGCCTTAAATCAAAGTTTTTCTCCATATGTGATTGTTACATCAGGTCCGACTTTGTTTTGCTGCTTAAGATGGACCATTTGTTCCTCTATTTAAGTTTCAGTTAATAAAAATCGTTTCTTATTTGGAATCAGCTTCAACTTTACATTATCCAACTTTTTAGATCCTACATATTTGCAAAAGGTTAGATTTATTGTGCTTATCATCTTTTTTTTTTTTGAAGATGTCGATGATGTTGATTTCTTTGGTGAGAGACGGAAGAGGAAAAGATGGCAACTGAAGATAGGAATCAAAAAAAGAATCAATAAAGAAGAAAGATATACGTATATTTGTACTGTGTTTGCAAAATTTGAACTACACCTGGAAAGAGATAGATATGTTGTTGGTGTGGGAGATTGACCGGATATTGGATTTGGAATAGTAGTGGATACATCTAATGGTAAAACTTCAACCTACCAATACCATCTGTGCTTTGCTTCTTGAACTAATGGTATCTTTAAAGTTTGTTAGTCTTTGGCTGGGGATGCTTATAATGAAATCGTTTTTTTTGCTTTGAGTGGGGAGTATGCAAATAGGATAATCGAACCATAGGTAAATCCTATTTATTTTTAAATAGATTTTCTGAGATGTGTGCATATTCATTGCCTTATAGATATTGTTTTATCGTTTTTTTACTCTTTTAAGCTTCCCCCGCATAGTAAATCCAAAATTCTCTTTGTACGGTTGCTTTGTTGCCAACTCTTCTACAAGGTATCATCCGTCAAGAGGGCTTATGAAATTGAACCTTCAAAGTAGAAGCAGAAAAGCTCAAAACTGATTCCCGACATCAGGTTCTAAGTATGGTAAAGACGGAGAATAAGAACGCAGCAGCAGACACGATTACGATTTTCAAGTTCTGATGAAACAAGCCGTAGGCACTTTTTTCTTTCCTATGCTACCGCTTCCTTTGTTTTCTTTTTTGTTTCTATTTCACTCTCTTTGTAATTACCAATGGATTGACACAGAGATTCGATTCGGTTTATCAAATTAATCAACCATGGTGGAGGATTTGGTGTAACTGTCACCGGTCTTTTTGATTATTTTTGGACCAAGGCAAAAACCTACATAACACAGATAACAAGGTAAGAACATCTGTCTAAGTTTGTAAATTTATAGTTATTTGACAACGTATGCCAAGTGTTCAATGAATTGCTCAAACGAAGCATACATCACAAAAAATGAACCGATGTTTCTTTCCTTCACCTTTCTCAAGTATATGTATTTATTTTAATTTTTTTACAACTTCATCACTGGAAATGAAGACTTTACGTTCAGAAAGTAGTCGTCGGTAGAACCACATGTACAAACGACTGGTAAATATAAAAGTGTTGGTGCTCAGTTAACTAATTTGGAAGAATATACCCATCCGGTGCTTACAATATTGCTACATAACGTCTATTTCTCAACACAAGCGTGAACTTAGTTGTTGTTTCCTTAATATTGATGTTGTATCAGAGTAATAAATTTGATTTGTGTTTTACAGGTTAAAAGAAGGAAGATATTGAGAGATGGATCTGGATATTGTCAAGCATAATTGTAAGTTATGACATTATTCTCCTTTACCATTGTATTTTTTTATATTGTTTCGTCTTAATTTTCCCTTTGTTCCGTTTAGGACTGGAGGAGTATTTTTCCCGATGTGTTGTAGCGCCTTCAACTTTATGAAGATTAACTGCAAGTGGAATAGAATATATGGGCTGTCGATTTAGAAGTACAATTTGTTGTCAATTTTTACACAGGTAGCTTCTCATTTTTTTCTTGGTCCACAACATTTTTTTAGTTAGAACATTTTCTGAATAACCACTTTTTGTCATGCTGGATTCTTTTGCTAAAATTATTAATGTTTTATCTATCAAATTGCTTAGTATTTGTCATGAAAATGTCTATGCTCAACAAACAAAGAATAATAAATAGAAATGAAAGTAAGATGTTATATTAAAAAAATAAAAGAAAGTACATTGCTATTCCATTTTTAACTTTTTCAAAATTTTCCATTTCGATTCAACAATTTAACCATTTATACTTCTCTTTCTTATTACGATATGAAAAACTTTGAAAATTAAAAAATAAACGTTTTATAGTTTTTTTTTTAGAATAAAATTGTAATTTAGTTGAAATATTGAAAAATTTTACTAATATTTCCCGTGATTATATATTACATAAATGGAAATGTAATAAGTTCCAATATTTCTTAATTAAATGGATGCAGGCTTGAAATATAATAGTGAAGTATTTTGATAACCGAAAGAACAAAGTGATGCACTTAACGACTTTGGTGTTGCTCAACTCAGTAGTCACTGGTAAACTAAAAATCACATATTGCTTTTAGTTACTATGTTGTCTTTAGATGCACTTTATGGTTTATCTATGCAACATATTTATAATTTCTTTTAGAATTTCAACAATTAAAATTGGTCCAAATATGATAGTAGTCACATAAAGGATAAAACAATATTTTAAAGGTTGTATTTACTATCAAGTAAATGAAAGGTCATGCTTTTTTACCAACATAAAGGCCCACACTCATCTTAAAGTGATTATAGATAGTGCATTGTAATAAGGAGTCACTGTATCTTTTATATATATATATATATATATATATATATATATATATATATATTTAATAAACAATAATGAAATGCTTATAAATGTATTTGTGTAAACAGAATTTGTTTTGTGGGAATAATGTTCTTATTGATATGAGCATACATTCTGCATATGTCATGGCTATTCGTGGTGCCCAACATTTCATCTATATTGAGAACCAGTATTTTATTGTTATGGTATGGGTTTTTGATCTAATTCTATTACTACTCCCAATCAAGAACTAAAGTTTTGCATATTTGGTTTCAGAAGGGGACACCATGAGGGTGAGGAAGTGGAGAAGATTTGTTCTTCTTCCTACCTGATTTGTTATTTCCATCTCAACTTTATGTCAATGGTATCAATGAAGGGCTTCAGGTAAGGACAAAATTTTCGACTTTTGAAGTCAAAGAAAGTTGAAA